TCATATGTAGGAATATTACTGTTGCATCAGACTGGACGCTACAGAAGTTTGAAGTTTTGGAATTTCATGCATACAATAATTCATACACGAATGGAATGCATGCCATCCGCCTATCAGCTTTCAATTTGCTATTTGCTGTGTGAGTTCGTATCTATCACTAGAATTCCTTGGGGAGTCCGTGTTCACTACCTTGCATGAGAAAGATATAGGCCGAGGGGGAGACACATGGGAAAGACGAGATCAGTGTGGGAGAGATGAGTGTGGAAGAGATTAGTGTAGGCGAGAGAGCGTGGGAGATCAGTGTGGGAGAGATGAGTGGAAGAGGGATGAGTGTGGGAGAGATGAATGAGGGAGAGATGAGTGGGGGAGAGATGAGTGTAGGAGAGATAAGTGGGGGAGAAATGAATGGGGGAGAGATGTGTGTAGGAGAGATGAGTGAGGGAGAGATCACTATCGCACAAAAAAGCCAGAGATAGGGGGAGAGGCGAGGTGAGTGAGGTGGGGACAGGGAGCGGGGGAGAAACAGACTCCCCCCACAACCCTTCCCTCAACAACACTCTTCACTGAACAACAACACACACACCCACCCACCCACCTCAATGATGTGTCGGGTGGGGAGAGGGAGCGGAGGAGCAACAGGCACCCCTCAACATCCTTCTATAAGCATCAGCACACACCCACCTCAGGGATTCGTCTATGCTGGACTGGCGGTGGCACTGCCAGCGTTGCCGCCACCACGGCTGCCAGATCCTTCCTTGACACGCTGCCCCTCGTGGCGTCGGCCCGGGGGGAATGGCGCGGATACAAGGAGAGACAACACAAACAATGGCAAGGGGACGAGTTGGGGGAGAGGGGGGGTGTGCATGCTCCTTCCACCAAATCCTACCCTGACACACTGATGAGACGAGACCAAGGGGATTGCAAGAGGCAACGGAAGAGCAACTGGCGCTACCACCACCACCACTGCCACATTCTGATACAGACCCCCTCTTACTGTGTTGCTCTGACTTTTGAGTCGACTCAAAAGTCATTCCGATACGCACCCCCTCTTACTGTGTTGCTCTGACCTTTGAGTCGACTCAAAGGTCATTCTCTACAGACACCCTCTTACTCTGTTGCTCTGACCTTTGAGTCGACTCGAAAGTCATTCTGACACAGACTCTCTTTTACCGTGTTGCTCTGACCTGATGTATGGGGGAGTAAGAGGAGAGTACTGCGGGATGAGAGGCACACAGGAGTTGCTGGACTTGCGTGCGTTATGGTGGGCAGTGAAGAGGAGAAGAGAGAGCGAGAGGAGGAGAGGAGAAAAAGAAGTGTGAAGGTGTCGAAAGGCAAGAGAGGAACAAGTTTCCTTCAAGCAGATGGGAGGGAAAAAATAAGTGCTCACCTGCACACAACCCTGTGGTCCCAACAACACCACGTTCTTGACTTTGCTGCCTTGAAGCGGCTGTGCCAGCACGCCCAGATGATGGGACAGCAGTGGGACAGGGAGGGGCAACGAAACAAAGGGGAAAAAGAGGTGACGGCAGGAGGAAGGGCGGTATATAGGAGCCGGAGTGGGAGAGAAAGCAGAGGGGACGAAAGGAGAGGAAAACGTGATTGGGAGAGGCGCGAACAAAATACTGGGAAGTGACAATCGTGAGAGGTGGTGGAGGTGGTGAGGAGGCGAGCTGATGAGGAGAGGAAGGAAGAAGGAATGTGAATTCCCGAATAAAGGGGAATGCGGAACAGCAGGTTAGAGAGGATGGAAGCGAGGCATGCAGTCGGGGAAATTTCAAGGAGAAGGGGGAATGGAAGAGGGGGACAGGGCAGAGGAAACTGGGAGTAAACATGGCAAGCAGAGAGGCAGGGCAGCTCTTGGGGAAAGACCAAGGTGGAGGGAGAGCGAGGGCCGTTACATTGAGCACGGTAGCAACGAGCACAGTAGCAACGAGCACAGTAGCAACGAGCATGGTAGCAACGAGCATGGTAGTGAGAGAAATGGAGAGATGAGGGGAGAGAAGAGGGGAGAGAAACAGAGTGGGATCAGGGGAAGGCAATTGGGGAAGCACTCACTGACCCCACTCACACCCCACCCAACCCACCCGAAACCCACCCCACCCACCCAATCACCCCCAACCAACCCACCCACACCCACCCCACCCAACCCACCCACACCCACCCCACCCAACCGATCCCACCCAACCCACACACCCACCCCACCCACCCACACACTCAACCCACCCACCCACACACTCACCCCAACCATCCACACACTCACCCCACCCACCCACACCACACCCTCACCCCACCCACCCACGCACCCCACCCCCACACCCACCCACCCCACCCACCCACACACCCCAACCACACACCCACCCCACCAACACGCCCTCCTCATATATCTGTCTGTCTCTGCTGGAACAGCGGCGGCACAGCCAGTGCTGCCGCCACCACCGCTGCGAATTCCTCCTATGACGCGCGTCAAATCCTCCCGTGACACGCGTCCTCAAATCCTCCCGTGACATGCGTCAAATCCTCCCGTGACATGTGTCAAATCCTCCCGTGCGTCAAATCCTCCCGAGACATGCGTCAAATCCTCCCGTGACATGCGTCAAATCCTCCCGTGCGTCAAATCCTCCCGAGACATGCGTCAAATCCTCCCGTGACATGCGTCAAATCCTCCCGTGACATGCGTCAAATCCTCCCGTGACATGCGTCAAATCCTCCCGTGGCACGTTTCGTCTATCCGTATGATGCCATTGCTGAGCAGAGAACAACAGCTGGGTTGTCTGCTGGATTCGGTGAGGTGAAAAGCGGTGCTGAGGCGGCCTGAACAACAGTCGTGTGTGGGCGACCTGCAGTGACGCACAGGAAGTGAGAGGGAAGAGGGGGAGGGGGGGTGGGGATGGGGTGGGGGGGTGGGTGGGATGGGGTGGGCGGGTGGGGATGGGGAAAGGGGAAGGGGGATGAAGTGGGAGGGTGGAAAGGGGGAGGGAGAGAAGCGGGATGAAGGGGAAATAAGGGAGGGGAGAGGGGTTGGGGAAGAGGGGCAAACTATGTGCGTTCAACAAAAGGCAGCTCTGCCGCTGCTGCATATGTACTTGTGTAAATAGAGTCGCACATACTTCAACTGTAGATGTTCCATAAGCCAACATATAAGCAGCTTCTAGTGGAGAATGGAGGATCCTTATAAAGGAGACAGAGTCAACCCACCCGATATCCAGCGGCAATGTGTGTGGCGGCTTGACACGTCACTTAGTGGCTGAATGGCGTGGCAATGCCGAGCACACAAGAACAAGTGGGATCGGCCATGATGGGCATGTATAAGCGGCGAGGAGAGGACAACCGAAGCTTGTCTGGATGGCGGGCAGGAGGAAGAGGAGAGAGTAGGGGGCGAGAAGAGAGGAGGGAGGGGATGAGGCCAAGATGGGGGGAGAAGAGGAGAGGAGGGAAGGGGCGGGGAGAGAAGGGAGGGGAACAGGAGTGAGTGAGGGGAAGACGAGAGGAGAAGGCGAGGAACGAGGTTTACAAAAACTCATGAGGGTGGGGAGAAGAGGAGAGCGAGAGTATAACGCCCTGCCTGACCGATGACCCACAACAGAGGTCGTTCAGAGGCACAACCGTTGGTTTTGACCATTCCTGTAAGTCCGCAGCATTAGAGGAAAGAGGAAGTGAGGGAGGGGAAGAGGAAAGGAGGGAAAGACGAACGTGATAGTCGCGTCAAGGCAGCTAATGTAACGCTTTTGGCGCAGAGGGAAGGCAAAGGCTCAGTGAGAGCACATAGTGTCCGATAATCAAAGGATCTGTCGTTCATGAACGTGATGCAGATGGCGAGCTGAGGAGATCACCACGAATGGTGAAGAATGTTTCGCATTCCTCCAGGCGGATTTGCTTCAACTGACGTGCAGGAATGAGACGGTGGCTTCCATGATGCTCTCCTCCCTCCATGACCAGCAGCAGCGGGTCAAGACGAATGACAAACAGGCCTGCCAGGCCGTGGGTTAACACGCTTCACGACACAGTACTGACCTTCCCATGCCTTGGTAGTGACAGACCGGTAGAAACATGTGTGGCTGGCGCCATGAGCCTTTTTGGCACACAGGTCAAAACATGTGCTCTGGGGGAAGTTTCAGATCCACCCTTCCTGCCGCAGCAGGCGCAAGCAGCACCACTCCCGCCAGCCAGTGTGGGCCCACGAAGGAGGCGACACTGACGCTGCCATCCCCCCTGCTGCATCCCAAAATTCACCTCGCCGAAATCACTTTCAGAATGAGGCACACCCCGGGGTCACCCTCACGTGGTGACCCACAAGTTCCCTCTGTGCTACCTACAGCTCACCCCAAGACACTGGCGACGTCAGCGACGATCGCCAAACTACGCGCCCAACGTGGTAGCAGTTTTTTCGACCAATCGGAATGATTTGCAGTTCGGGAGGGTACCCCGAGGTGACCCCAACTTTGGCGGGAACGACACTGGCTGTTTAGTTTGTCGCCACGTATGGAAATTCCAAACCTGCTGGTTCTGTATTTCGAACAAAAACCTGTTTTTTCTTCTAGCCAGTTCGCATCTCTCTTATCCGCCACACGTTACGCTATCGCATCGCTCAATGATGGGTTTGGTTACAGTGATGGGTTGGATTACGTGGCACCAATCCTTGTCACGAGCCAATCAGAGCTCTTAGCATCTTCTACTGCCTCTCCTCTCCCAGCACCTTCAGAGTACTTATCATCAGCAATCTTACACTAACTCGTCATTCCTTAGGTCGTTTTCAGCTCCAGATACTCACGTAGAGCAGCTACTACCAGAGCTCCATGCAGCGCACGTGAACAAGAAGCAGCTCGTCGCGATTAGCTCTGGTGAGGCCTTAATGGTGGTTATGTTTCGCGTTCCACGACAAGATAACACGATCGCACATGTTATTTGTTGTTGTTTTTTTTTTTTTTTCCGGTTTTTCACAGTTGTAGCGCGCGTACCCTGAGGTCGTTTTACCAGCGCTACAGGAGTCCATCAATCCGGCCATGTCGTGCGCGAAGATTCAATGCGAGGTACGTTAGTCGTGCGCGATTATTTATAACCTTGACATTCCCGCTTAACCGTATTCCGCGTTCTCTTAGCGCTTGTTCCGTGGCTTCGTCTGTATGTCGACATCGTTTTTGCAGACAACGGTGGCGATCCTCTCACGCAGTCTCGAACAGTAAAAAAACGAGTGCTTTGATTTCGAACTCCGGGACTGCACTCTCTGCATGCCCGTAGAGGCTGCCGTATTCGTGAGGTAAAAATCTTGCTTGACGCCATGTTGCTGAGACATGCCCTGTGTTGCTGTTTTTTCTGGTTTCCTCTGTATTTGTTGGCGCGTGTGTTGCAGGAGCATACTATTACACATAGGGTATTGATCGATTATTCTCCAGGGGAAATCATAGCTGGTGAAACGTTCAATATGTAGGTAGGATGCATAATGTCCTAGCTGAAGGTTATAGCCGTGCAATTGTTAGAAGTTCCTGCATTGTCAAATTTTCAATATGCACATGGTTGAATAGCGTAATGCTAATAGTGCAATCTGTAAAAGGTAAAACCCATAAATATGCTAAACCCAAGCTATTTTTACATCGCTAAATGAATATAGGTATGAAACGTATAATTGGAATACTATCAATTTTAATTGTGTCCATATCTGGTATTTTTTATACGAATACCATGTTAGTCAAACTGTAGGGTCTGTCGTGTACTATAGGCACAATTTTAGGGTTGGCGATGTATTCCATAGCGAGAAGCCGGCTCGCGTGTGATTCGCTCCCACAGGTTGGGAGCGGTTTCCTGTGGGTCACCACCTGTGGGTGACCTCGGGGTCACCACGCGAAGTGGTTTTTGCCGAGGTGACCCACGGGTCACCTAGACGAGGACCCCGGGGTATCCCTCCAGGGGGTAAGCTGTGGGTAAGCTGGGGGGGGCTTTTTGGGCCAAACTTTTTTGGGATGTGCTGACGCCACTGCTGCTGCTCGCCGTGGCTTAAAGCCCAAGACCTGAATTACTCAACGGAAGTCAACGCTAAAAACTAGGTTCGGGAGGCAGGCACGGAGAGGTTCGTTTGGGTTGCGAGAGACTTTCAACTCGCGAAACAATTTGCGACAAAAGTCTCTCGCTTCCCATGATGGGTGGGGTCCTTCCCACAACCAGAAAAGCGCTTGCATACCAAACTGTGCACAGTTTGAGATAGCACGCTTAGTATTAGGCATAGACCATACCCGTAGACAGGGCAGGGCGTCGGTGTTCACTCAAAAGAGATCAGATGCGCCTTACGATGTGGGAGGCGCGGATTTCGATGATGACGCGCAAAGCTAGTGTTAGTTGTGTGAAGAATTTTGTGTCGAAATGCAGGTTATTGTGCAACTACTGCGTAGCGTAAACTCGCCGCATCGAAAATCGAATCACACCCGTTCGACCAACCGTGACCCTCCCCTCGCCCTCGCTTTCCTTTCCCTAGGTCCCACGCTTCCGCACTCTGTCGTCCGCGTCGTCGCCATCATTTCCGCAGCTCGTCGCCTTCGCGACCCCAGCCAGTCGCGAACGCTCCGCCCGTCGCGAACGCTCCGCCCGTCGCCTTCACTTCCCCCCCGTCGCCTTCACTTCCCCCCCATCGCCTTCACTTCCCCCCCGTCGCCTTCACTCCCCGCCCACCGTCGCCTGCTCTTCCCCGTCGCCTTCACCCCCCCCAACCCCGTGGTGACTTCCCACCCCCCGTCGCCTTCACTTTTCCCCCTCCCGTCGTTTTCACATCCCCCGCCCAATGACCTTCATTTCCCCCACCCCGTCGCCTTCACTTCCCCCCCCCCCCCCCCCCCGTCACCTTCTCTTCCCCCATCCCGTCGCCTTCAACCCCCCCCCACCACGTCGCGACTTCCCACCCCCCGCGCCTTCACTCCCCCCCCCCCCCCCTCCCGTGGCACTTGCTTCCCCCGCCTGTTGCACTTGCTTCCCCCGCCTGTTGCACTTGCTTCACCACCCGTCGCCTTCACTTCCCCTCCCATTGCCTTTCACTCTCTCCTGCTCATTCTCTCTTCCCCGCCCGTCGCCTTCTCTACCCCTCCCATTGCTCGTCTTTATCCCCTCCATTCCCCCACCCTACGCTCTCTCTCCTCCCCCACTGCTCACTCTCTCCCCCACTGCTCACTCTCTCCCCCACTGCTCACTCTCTCCCCCACTGCTCACTCTCCCCCACTGCTCACTCTCTCCCCCACTGCTCACTCTCTCCCCCACTGCTCACTCTCTCCCCCACTGCTCACTCTCTCCCCACTGCTCACTCTCTCCCCCACTGCTCACTCTCTCCCCCACTGCTCACTCTCTCCCCCACTGCTCACTCTCTCCCCCACTGCTCACTCTCTCCCCCACTCCACTCTCTCCCCCACTGCTCACTCTCTCCCCCACTGCTCACTCTCTCCCCTCTCACTCTCTCCCCCACTGCTCACTCTCTCCCCTCTCACTCTCTCCCCCACTGCTCACTCTCTCCCCTCTCACTCTCTCCCCCACTGCTCACTCTCTCCCCCACTGCTCACTCTCTCCCCCACTGCTCACTCTCTCCCCCACTGCTCACTCTCTCCCCCACTGCTCACTCTCTCCCCCACTGCTCACTCTCTCCCCCACTGCTCACTCTCTCCCCCACTGCTCACTCTCTCCCCCACTGCTCCCTCTCTCCCCCACTGCTCACTCTCTCCCCCACTGCTCACTCTCTCCCCCACTGCTCACTCTCTCTCCCACTGCTCACTCTCTCCCCCACTGCTCACTCTCTCCCCCACTGCTCACTCTCTCCCCCACTGCTCACTCTCTCCCCCACTGCTCACTCTCTCCCCCACTGCTCACTCTCTCCCCCACTGCTCACTCTCTCCCCTCTCACTCTCTCCCCCACTGCTCACTCTCTCCCCTCTCACTCTCTCCCCCACTGCTCACTCTCTCCCCTCTCACTCTCTCCCCCACTGCTCACTCTCTCCCCCACTGCTCACTCTCTCTCCCACTGCTCACTCTCTCCCCCACTGCTCACTCTCTCCCCCACTGCTCACTCTCTCCCCCACTGCTCACTCTCTCCCCCACTGCTCACTCTCTCCCCCACTGCTCACTCTCTCCCCCACTGCTCACTCTCTCTCCCACTGCTCACTCTCTCCCCCGCTGCTCACTCTCTCCCCCGCTGCTCACTCTCTCCCCCACTGCTCACTCTCTCCCCCACTGCTCAATCTCTCCCCCGCTGCTCACTCTCTCCCCCACTGCTCACTCTCTCCCCCACTACTCACTCTCGTTCTCCCTGGACTCACTTATCTTTCCCCCCTGTTTACTCTCTATTCCCCTTCGTTCAACCCTTTTTCCCCACAATCCCTCTCACCTCCCCTGTTCACACCCCTCGTTTCCCCCTGCTTACTGGCTTTCCCCTTTGCTCACCTCCTTCTCCTCCCTGCTCACCCTATATCCCTCTTTGCTATCCCCATCCTCCCCTCCCCGCATGCCCCGCGCATCATGTGTCCCTCGCGCACTCCGCGCTACCGCAGCGGACTTGACGCTGCGCCTCAAGGGCGCGCCTTTCGCGGCGATGGGCGCGCGGCTGATCCTCTCCGCGCGCTCCGTGGAGCGCCTGGAGGCGGTGCGCACTTCCTGCTGCGGGAAGCACGCGCCGGAGGGGGTGGTGGTGCTGCCGTTCTGCCCATCCGCGCACAATGAGTGTCCAATTTTACACACACCCCTCTCTCTTTTTCAGTTCCTACCTCTCCCAGTTCCCCTCGTTCCCAGTTCCTCACTCTCACGACACAGTCTCCTCCTCTCAAGTCTCTACAACCATGTGCTCTCCCTCTCCTTTCGTCTTTGCTCACCCCTCTGCCTTGTCCACTCCTCCTATACATGCCCTTCTGCACCTCCACCTCCACTTTTCGCTTATTTTGCCATATCCCCTCTTCCCTCATTGTTCTATCACAGAATCATTCTTGTACAGGTGCCCAGCACCATGGGTCCAACAGGAGTGGGATGGAAAGTTACCACCTCCTAGCTTTGTACATTGTGCTTGTAGTCTACTACTGACAAATGTTTAAAAAATATAACTTGCTTTGTTGCATTTCTTTGTAGTGGTCATGTGCATGGCTGCTCTAAAGCCCAGAGTGTTGTATCAGGAGAAGGATCCAACATCTCTACATCGCATGGCTATTTGTCATACCACTAACATCAAACAGCTAAGGCATGACAACTGGATGCATGGCAGACCTGCACAAACACGAACCACAAACACGAAGCATCAGGGAAGGATACAAAACAATGACAATGGGAGGGCAGGCGACAAGAAACAAGCCCCTAAAATATACAGACAGGGTAGGAGAGTAGTCGCGTGGCAGGGTAGAAGGGTGCAGAGGAATGGCTGACGAGAGGAAGTGAGGAGGCTGAGAGGAAGGGAGGATGGCAGAGAGGGATGCAGAGAACAAGGACTGTGCCGAGGGAGAAAATGAGCAAGGGAGACAAGGAGGAAGGGTGGACGAGAGGATGGGATGAAGGGAGGGAGGAAAGGGGAAAGAGAGGGGGGAAAGACACTAAAGCAGAGAGTAGTGGAGAGGGTGGAAGAGAGGAAGAGAGGAAGGGAGTAGGAGAGGAAGGGAGGATGAGAGGAAGGGAGGATGAGAGGAAGGGAGGATGAGAGGAAGGGAGGATGAGAGGAAGGGAGGATGAGAGGAAGGGAGGATGAGAGGAAGGGAGGATGAGAGGAAGGGAGGATGAGAGGAAGGGAGGATGAGAGGAAGGGAGGATGAGAGGAAGGGAGGATGAGAGGAAGGGAGGATGAGAGGAAGGGAGGATGAGAGGAAGGGAGGATGAGAGGAAGGGAGGATGAGAGGAAGGGAGGATGAGAGGAAGGGAGGATGAGAGGAAGGGAGGATGAGAGGAAGGGAGGATGAGAGGAAGGGAGGATGAGTGGACGGGAGGATGAGAGGAAGGGAGGATGAGAGGAAGGGAGGATGAGAGGAAGGGAGGATGAGAGGAAGGGAGGATGAGAGGATGGGCGGATGAGATGATGGGTGGATGAGATGATGGGCGGATGAGATGATGGGTGGATGAGAGGATGGGCGGATGAGAGGGTGGGCGGAAGAGAGGAGGGGCGGATGAGAGGATCGGCGAGTAGGAGATGGAAATGGAAAGAGGGACTGGATCGAGGGAGGATGAGGAGAGGGAGAATGGCAGGAAGGGAGGGCAGGAGGAAGGGAGGGAGAACGGGGAGCAGGGGAAAGAGGGTAGTGAGGCAGAGAGTGTGGGATAGATGGAGGAAGGGAGAAAGAGAGAGGGAGAGGAGGACGACCGTGGGGGCCCCACGGAACGGAGTAAGGGAGGAGGGCAGGTGGTAAGAGTGTGGCAGGGTATAAGGGGGATAGGAGGATCCCTGCACCCTCTCTCCCTAACCCCCGCCTTCCCCGCTCCGCCTCCCCCGACCCGCCCCCTGCAGCACTGCACTCCTTGCTGCCCGCCTGCACGCGCTGCCCTGGCTGGGCGCCCAACACTCTGCTCCAAAGCCGCACCACCACCTGCCATGGGCGACGGTGGGGGGAAGCGTGGGCGACGGGGGGGGGAAGCGTGGGCGACGGGGGGGGGGAGCGTGGGCGACGGGGGGGGGAAGCGTGGGCGACGTGGGGGGGGAAGCGTGGGCGACGGTGGGGGGAAGAGGGGGCGACGGTGGGGGGAAGCGTGGGCGACGGTGGGGGGAAGCGTGGGCGACGGTGGGGGAAAGCGTGGGCGACGGTGGGAGGAAGTGTGGGCGATGAGCGGGGAAGCGTGGGCGACGGTGGGAGGAAGCGTGGGCGACGGTGAGGGGAAGCGTGGGCGACGGTGGGGGGAAGCGTGGGCGACGGTGGGGGAAAGCGTGGGCGACGGTGGGAGGAAGTGTGGGCGATGAGCGGGGAAGCGTGGGCGACGGTGGGAGGAAGCGTGGGCGACAGTGGGAGGAAGCGTGGGCGACGGTGAGGGGAAGCGTGGGCGACGGTGAGGGGAAGCGTGGGCGACGGTGGGGGAAAGCGTGGGCGACGGTGGGAGGAAGTGTGGGCGATGAGCGGGGAAGCGTGGGCGACGGTGGGAGGAAGCGTGGGCGACAGTGGGAGGAAGCGTGGGCGACGGTGAGGGGAAGCGTGGGCGACGGTGAGGGGAAGCGTGGGCGACGGTGAGGGGAAGCGTGGGCGACGGTGAGGGGAAGCGTGGGCGACGGTGAGGGGAAGCGTGGGCGACGGTGAGGGGAAGCGTGGGCGACGGTGAGGGGAAGCGTGGGCGACGGTGAGGGGAAGCGTGGGCGACGGTGGGGGAAAGCGTGGGCGACGGTGGGGGAAAGCGAGAGCGACGGTGGGAGGAAGTGTGGGCGATGAGCGGGGCGCGCGTGAGGGAAGGTGGGGGAAGGCGCGAGCGACGGTATGGGGAAGCGTGGAGGAAGGTGGAGGAGGGCGCGCGCGACGGTGAGGGGATGCATGGGGGAAGGCAGGAGGGAAGGGAACGCGTGAGCGACGGTGGCGGAACGCGTTGGCGACGGCGAAGGGAAGCGTGGGCGTGTGCGTGGGGAGGTGTGTGAGAGACGGTGGGGAGGAGCGTGGGTGACGCGGAAAGCGTGGAGTTCTAAATGGGCCGTAGGATTACTAGGAATAAATGTGAAAGTAACCCTGGCCTATGCTTTAGTGGCTTTTTGTTCTATCTCTTCGCACGATCTAATCCCTTAGCCTACCATCGGTGCAAGCACAACCTGAATTACGGAAGAAGCAAACTGTGCACACTTTGAGTGGTTGTTCCTTCAGAAGGGTGCGGTTGGGACTCTCGCTAACCGTACTTGTTCCGCCCTACGACTTCGAGTTTTTTGCGCGATGTTTTCTGGTAACCAGCCAGGCTCGGAAAGTCAACTGTGGGTTCGGAAGGCAAACTGTGCACAGTTTGCCTTCCTCTTTTTGTAATTCAGGTCTTGGGCTTTAAAGAAAGATAGGCTGAAACATGAGTGGAATGGGGGGTGGCGGGGGAGAGGAGATAATAGGGAGTGGGGACGGCGAAAAGAGCAATTTTCATATATCGACATGAGAACGGCTCAATTCTATCCAGATGGCTGGATTACATTCGACGTGATTACAGACGTACTGGAGCTGGGATGGGAGATGGATGAAAAAGCGTGCGCTGCAAAGTGAAAGGAAGGTGCACATCCGATAAAGAAGTGGATGGGAGCAGTGCATCACAAAAAACCCGAGTCAGGGTTGGAGGGTCCGATGTTGAATTCAAGGTAATTTGCCAGGCTCGGTTTTCCGATCGATTTCCAACCCTCAAGCATATCGCTTTTCCGACGGAAATCCACTCGCCAGGTTTTGTTTTGCGCGAGGTTGAGAGGCAAAACCGAGTCGCGCGTAAGAATGCACGGGCTGTCCTGATTTCCAGCGGATTTCGATAGGAAAAACAGGGAGGGCAGGGGGAACAAGTGATATATTTAGAATGCGTACACTTCGCGTCACACTTGATGAAAACAGTCATTTCTATTCTTATGATTCTTACTTTTAAAAGCTGTTTCTATTCAATAGGTTATCATCCGAGAAATTAATGCAGCAAGCTATTTACATGTTTTTTATGTTTTACAACCGTTTTTAAGGTGGAACTATGTACTATAAAGGTTTTTGTTTTTTTGTTTTAACGTGCCATGTTGTTGCGAAAGGACAAAAGAAGCAACATCATTCTTGTCAATAGTATACATAGCTACATTATATATTTGTTCATGTAGTATACATCACCATCAGCCCCATCAAAGGACTTCACTACATGAACATGGCCTAGAATAGAATCGATAGGGATAACGGTGAATGCGCGGGGGGTGTACAGACCCAAGCGCACACATCCAGTCCTTGGGTCATTGCCCAATTTCCTGTAGTAATCCACGTATGCAAGTTCATGGCGCTGCCCATCTTGGAAACAATGAAACAACAACAGCAGCTTTGCGTAGGCCACAGTCCCCCCCTCACAGCAAACAGCGATGTCTGAAAACCAGGGCCTCTTGTGGCACTCGGGAGTTGCTCTCACAAAATGAGCAACTCTTGAGGCGTTTGATGCATTGGATGCTGGCACTGCCAATGTTGTATGTGTCTGCCACAACACCACACAATAGACATAAGTATATGTACGTGAAAGAGTCGCATGGTAAGAATAGTTGGGAGGGCATAATATGGGAGAGAGAGAGAGAGAGAGAGAGAGAGAGAGAGAGAGAGAGAGAGAGAGAGAGAGAGAGAGAGAGAGAGAGAGAGAGAGAGAGAGAGAGAGAGAGAGAGAGAGAGAGAGAGAGAGAGAGAGAGAGAGAGAGAGAGAGAGAAAGAGAGAGAGAGAGAGAGAGAGAGAGAGAGAGAGAGAGAGAGAAAGAGAGAGAGAGAGAGAGGGGGGGGGAGGGGAGAAGGGAAGGGAAGGGGCGAGGGAGAAGGGCAAGAGACAGCAACGCTATCAACACCATCACTACATACTTGAATGGTTGGCGAGGTAATGCCGTAATCTGCAAGGGCATGACTCAGAGCTCTGTGTGCACGCGGGTGCTGCTGCGACCACCGTGATGCAAAGAATTTGGCCGATGTCGGGTCACTTGCCGGAGAAACAGCAAGTGCTTCTGATTCCCTCGTCAAGACTGGCCGCCCCGAGTCCATTGCCTATGAGTGAGTTTAGAAGGGGAGGGAAATAACCATTCAGGAATGCGAATGGAATGAACTCAACTATGGCAAGAAGGGTGGGTGAAGGCATGGGAGGGCAGTGATGTTGAGCAAGGCATCAGAGGGTGGAGAGGATGATGATGGCATGGAATGGCATGGAGATTGATGGAGGCGTGGGAAGGGCAGACATGGCGATGGTGGCATGGGATAACAAAGACGTTGATGGTGGCATGGGAGGGCAGATATGTTGATGGCATGGGAGGGCAGATATGTTGATGATGGCATGGGAGGGCAGATATGTTGATGATGGCATGGGAGGGCAGATATGTTGATGATGGCATGGGAGGGCAGATATGTTGATGATGGCATGGGAGGGCAGATATGTTGATGATGGCATGGGAGGGCATGGATGTTGATGATGGCGTGGGAGGGCAAGGATGTTGATGATGGCATGGGAGGGCAGGGATGTTGATGATGGCATGGGAGGGCAGGGATGTTGATGATGGCATGGGAGGGCAGATATGTTGATGATGGCATGGGAGGGCAGGGATGTTGATGATGGCATGGGAGGGCAGATATGTTGATGATGGCATGGGAGGGCAGGGATGTTGATGATGGCATGGGAGGGCAAAGATGTTGATGATGGCATGGGAGGGCAGGGATGTTGTTGATGGCATGGGAGAGCAGATATGTTGATGATGGCATGGGAGGGCAAAGATGTTGATGATGGCATGGTAGGGCAGGGATGTTGATGATGGCATGGGAGGGCAGATATGATGATGATGGCATGGGAGGGCAGGTATGTTGATGATGGCAGTGGGATGGAAAGTTCAAATTACTCGTGGCTTGGGAGGGGGAAAGGTGGATGATGTCTTGGCAGGGGAAATCAAATTTGTTCATGGTTTGGGAGGGAAAAATCTGGTTATTGATGGCAAGGGAGGGAACATGCAGATTGATGATGGCATGGGGTGGAAGAATCAGGTTTAGGATGGCATGAGAGGGATAAAATAGGTTGAAGAAGGCATGCGAGGGCAGAGACATTGAACTCAAATCACCCCATAGCATACAGAGAGGTTTAGGGTTTAAACGTAGCTTAGCATGATCTAGTTACCTGCTGCATTATCGTGTACCGAACCCCCTCCTCATCCTCAAGCGTGATGAAAGCCGCACTTTTCTCGTGATGCTTCATGATTTGTGCGTCGGCGTTGCGTTTGTTGGATCTGCGGTATATTCTCTTCAAAAGGGGACCGTGCAAGTGCTCCCACATGTTTGTCGAAAATTCCGACACATGCCCCGCCCTCCGAATGGCGGGAACATAATGCGAGAGGAGGTGAGTCTTGATGATGCACCATTCCGATTTTTGCGTTGGAAACGCATCTTGCAACTTTGCCACAAGACTGTTCATATACGGTGTGGGGTGAATGGGGTGAATGGCATAAAAGGGGATGTGTAAGTGTAGCAACGCAGAGTGGCGCAGGATGAGCATAACAAAGCGCCACACACACCCGGAGCCTCTCTCCCCCTACTCCCCTCCGCACCTACCTGTTATGTACAGGGAAAGAAGGGCATACAAGGGGCGGACTTGCGAGAGCGTGTGGGGAGGTGAGAAGCAGGACAGAGTGCTGCGCAGGGAGGTGCCCTTCCCGCCCTCCTCAGTACGGCAGCTGGTCTTAGTGGCAGGGAGAAAAGTGCCCTGGTAGCGGCTGTGTTCATCGAAGGGATGTAAATTAAGCCCCGAATCATGGCGGGCCAAAATAGAAAGGGGGGGGGCAGCGTGTCTACGAGGTGGATCGAAACAGCCAAGGGTGGGCACTAGGATATGCACGACTGGGTGGAAGGCGAGTGCTTACTCGTCGGTCAACTCCTGCAGACGCCGAAGGGTGCTCTCTGTGTGCCCGGGGAGCCTGGCACAATACAGATACCATTCGAGGTATGCTCGAATGGCGCTCAGCTGGAGGTCCCCGAGCTTGTCCGCAACCACAAAAATCAGCACCTGTGGACTTAGGGAAGGTAATATACAGTCCAGGTTAGGGTCACACGTGAATCACGAAAACCATGAGTGTGTGAGGGGGCGTGTGGTGTGTAGGTGTTTAAGGTCAACGTGGTAGGAGTTCAAAACGGGGTGGGGAGCATATGACTATAAAATTGTGCCCATATTAGTGACACTTGCCTGCAGGACAGACCGATGCTCAAAGGCCGCCACCTGTGCATCGGACACGAAGTACGTTGAATTTGGCAGCCGAAGATGAGTCATGCGAATGATTTCTCTCAGGTTCTTCAAACGCCTGATCATGACAAAAATGACATAGGGAGGGAGAAAACACGGTACATTAGCAAGGACGATCGACTGCCCCAACAACATGTAAGAACAATGATTGCTGTGTCCTATAGCCATGCATATTCGACCACGTGCCAACTCACAACGACCAAATCCAACCTGTCAAACAATGGCAGCAACTTCTCGTAGTTGACGCGGATCGCAGCAACTATGTGATGGAGAATCCCAAGGTCCGCTTGGTGCATTATGTCGGGCATGATGACGAGGTAAGGATTTCCCCACGGCTTCCCCCAAACGTCCCACAGCCACAAGGACGACTGCAAGCAAAGGCAAAGTGTAACAACATTGAGGATGGTAGGGAAGCGCATTGGAGGGGAGGGGAAGGGGACGGGGTGGCATGACATGGCAGAGAGGGTGGTGAGCACATGACATGGCAGAGAGGGTGGTGAGCACATGACATGGCAGAGAGGGTGGTGAGCACATGACATGGCAGAGAGGGTGGTGAGCACATGACATAACAGAGAGGGTGGTGAGCACATGACATATCAGAGAGGGTGGTGAGCACATGACATGGCAGAGAGGGTGGTGAGCACATGACATGGCAGAGAGGGTGGTGAGCACATGACATGGCAAATAGGGTGGTGAGCACATGACATGGCAGAGAGGGTGGTGAGCACATGACATGGCAAATAGGGTGGCTTATCAGTGGCATGGCAAATATGTGGGTGCGTTCATAACATGTCTTTCGTCACACTCACGTCCACGTCGAACGTCGAATATTCCATCCCAATTGTTTTCCGCGGCCGCACTTGTACCACCTTGTACCAGTTTTCCTTGATCCATCTCTGTTGCACTGGAGTGCGTGAGACATTTGGGGCAGACTCAGCATACAAGTGATCCTGCACGAACGAGAGGAAGCACCATTAACTACGAAACCCAGCCAATACTAAAATCAGCGACTTCGATTGCATTGGGTCATAGTTTGTCTGATGGAAAAATCACCTAAACGACATGCCACATACCTTGTGAGCATAGCAAATGCTACATGGCCGATTGGTAGCACCAGATAGCGTGCATGTAATTTTGCAGCTCTCGGGAAAATCACACACCCACGCGTACAGCATGGGTATCACATGGTGCTCAACGCCATTTGGGTCTTTCATCATGAAGCCACTGCATTCAAGCGGACCAAAAGCGGCTATGAGAATGTGTCCATGGGAGTGTTTCAAGCTTGGTGAGTGCAATGGAATGGAGCGTGGAATTTCCAAACGAGCACAACGACATCGTGGGCATTAGGTGCATGGAAGGACAACGGGAATTAGTCGCGTGTAAATGAAGGGAGGCAATCGAGGCTCGGAGGGCTAACATCACCTTTTCAAGCCCTCAAGGATGGGTTGTAGCATGAGCTCAACGGCTTTGTGAAACAACTCTGTGCTTTGTGCGGAGCTCATGCCAGCCGGTGGTATGGGGAGATTCCGCTCTCTCCTCTCCCCCCATCTGACCCTCTCTCCCCTGCGTGTCCCTCTGTCAGGCAGAGCCACAGCAAGGCAGCCTGCAGTCACCACCGCTCTCTCCTCTCCCCCCATCTGACCCTCTCTCCCCTGCGTGTCCCTCTGGCAGGCAGAGCCACAGCACGGCAGCCCGCCGTCACCACCGCTCTCACCTCTCCCCCCATCTGACCCTCTCTCCCCTGCGTGTCCCTCTGGCAGGCAGAGCCACAGCACGGCAGCCTGCAGTCACCACCGCTCTCACCTCTCGCCCCATCTGACACTTTCCTGAACTCCCTTTACCCACTTTACAGCCGTGTCGGGACCGGGCTGGCACGTGGACGACGACACGAAGTGGCCCTTTTCGAGCGAAATCTTTGTTGAGGGAATTTTCGCTGCATTCGTGAGATCGGGCATGGCACTGGGGGTATGGAAGACCCGCAAAATTGCCTTTGCATTGTTCGCTGTAAGTACACGCCCCTTGATTCTGATCATGATTTTTCTAATTCGATCCTGTCGAGAATCTAATTGCCATTATCGATCATTGCAGTTGGAATATCCGATCTTGGAGAAGACCGCCGATGGGAAGTTGAGCAGCAAGCCTGACTACAACAGGCCATTGTACGAGGAGAAAGTCAAGTGGTGCCGGAAGTCGG